CAATCAAGTTGTAGAAACATCTCAAGGATGATCAGTGGAAGCAGGATGCACCTGAGCTCAATTTTGAGTGTCATGGCAAAGGCTGTGAATACTTATGTACATGTGATTTTTTATTTTTAATAAATTTGCAAAGATTTCAAACAAACTTTTTTCACGTTGACATTATGGGGTTTTGTTTGTAGAATTTTAAGGAAAATAATGAATTGAATCCATTTTGGAATAAGGCCATAACATAACTTTCCGGATGCACTGTATTTATATATTTACACATTTATTTACCCCTAAAAGGGCTGTAGTAATCACTTACTCTGAGATACTTATATGTACCTTTGGCCACACTTTAGTTAATTCTCACGGTAACTCTTTAGTAAGTTCTCGCTATTTAACTAGTTGCTTATTAGCATGCCTATTATTAACATATTGGCTGTTTAATAAGTGCTTATAAAGCACATATTCTGCATGACCATATTTTGCACCCAAATCCTACCCAATAATAAACTTAACAATTACCTTACTAACTATTAATAAGCAGCAATTTTTTTCTGCTAGTGTAAGTTTTGAAGAGCTGCTTCAGAAGGATGACAGTGATGGTGAAGTGATGCTGTGCAGATCAGGCAGAGTATCTCAGATCATGTAGTCTTCTGCATCCTTCACACTCTAAGAAAAGCCTGTAAAAATAGTAACATGTGTGCTGTGTTTTTATGAAGGAATTTTCCATATAAATGTTCCCAGGTGTATTATATTTCCTATTCATATTTTCAATTACACATTGCACTGTGTTTTAGGGTTAAAGGAAATGTCTTTAAGCTTCATAGATGATGTCCAGGCAGAAAGTTACCAGTACCTTTTCCGTTTATCTACAATGTTTTTTTCTTACAGTGCACAACCTAGCATTAAAACACACCTCAGAGAACTGTGTTGTGTAAATTGAATTTCAGCATTTTGTGTTGTTATCTGATTTGAATACTTTCTTTTGTGAACCGGGTGCTAAAACAGCACACACCGTGAGTGAAAATAGACAATGCTATAAATTTATTCTTAGTAAATCCGCCCTCTGAAAGTTTAATCAGGAAGAGAGATATTGCTTATTCTCATTCAGCACTGTGCACTCTCGTCTCAATGGAGACTGTCAGTATCCCACAAGTGATAAACTAATGAGGTAAACAAATACTCTTGAATAGAAGTCTGCTATGTAGGAGATTTCTGCATTGTGATGATAGGCTTGCTTTTGGAGGGTAGAGATAACATTCTGATGTCAGAGGGGTCAGGGCATGTGTATTGTAACTGTATTATCTTCTCTTCTTGTTACAGGGAAGGTCTCTTGGTCAAGGGTCATGAATCTTGACATAGTCGTTATAATGATACATTACGTAGGTCATCGCACAGTGTTGTGGGATGATTTATAGCAACACAGCTTACTGATGTAGACAGTCTTCCGTCACAATGGTTGGTCTAATGGGATATGCAGAGAATGACACTGTTGAAATAATGGCGACAAACCTTAGAGAGTTTGTATTAGTTTAAATCTAACAAAAGGAATTAA